CCTCCACAATTACTCAATATGAAAATACTCTCCCTCTTCTCAATATGAAAATACTCTCCCTCTTCCCCTGATGGCGTCCGGGTGATGGCCGCGCACCCTCCGCGTACTGTTTTTTTACACACAGGATTCCCGGGAAATCCCGGGAAACGACTCTCGCTGAGGCGCCGGCGTCATTTTTTCCCAAAATGCTGCTCTCGTTGAGGCGCCGGCCTCATTTCTGCTCCCGAATCGTTCCGAATCGTGCTCCCGCTGCAGCGTGGGCCTCATTTTCGGATCGGTGTTTGGCCTCCGTCGTTCAGGATGGCGTTCTCGCCCCAACGCGGGCCTTTTTCTCGCGCGCCCATCCGCCCGCCACCACCGCGCCGCACCGCCACCACCACCACCACCACCACCACCACCACCACACCACCCACCACCACCACCAGCACCACCACCACCACCAGCACCAGCACCAGCACCACCACCAGCACCACACCACCACCACCACCACCACCACCACCACCACCACCACCACCACCACCACCACCACGACAACCACGCACACACGCACGCACGCACGCACGTGCACCACCACCCACTACGCACGCGCGCGCGGAGCCACAGGTCCGCTACGACACGCGTCCGCGGATAGAGAAAATCAGCGCCATGGTAAGGGATGGGAGGGAGGGGTAGGACGTCAGATATGACGCGAGCGCACCTAGCTTGTCCTCCTCCCCCTCCCCCTCCCCCTCCCTCCCTCCCTCCCGCCATCCCTCCCTCCCTGCCTCCCTCCCGCCCTCCCTCCCTCCCGCCCTCGCCCCTCGTCACTCCCCCCGCACCCCTTCCCGTCCTGGGAGGGCGAGGCGCCGCCGTCAGTGAACGCGCTGAGCACGTGGCGGGCGATGCCGAGCCTGCTGCGGAGGTGCGCGCGCGCTTGCGCGCACGGGCCCGACGTCCCGCGCTGGTCGGGGGCTGCCCCCTGGCTCTCGGGAGGCGTTCGGCGGTGCCTGCGGGTCTCGGGAGACACGCGGAGGCCCTCGGAGATCTTCGGAGATCTTCGGTGGCTTTCTGAGTCGTCGTTCCACGACCTGGGAGGTCACTCGAAAGCCTTCGGCGGGCTCTGGGAGTCTTTCGAAGGTCTTCGACGGTCTGGAGGGTTCATCGGAGGCTTCAGGACGATTCGGGATCCAGCGGTCTGCGGAGGCAATCGCTGTGATCTGGAGGTTTTTTGGGGGGGTCTTCAGACGTTTCCAGAGGGGTAGTTAGGTGGGCATGTCCCATTTGGGGCTGGGACCAGATGCAGCGCGGTCACGAGCGGAGGTGTCGCAAACGCGGAGCTCTGGGACAGAACGCATAAACGGGGCAAGGGCAGAGGGAGAGAACGAATAAAATGCAGCGCTCCTGCACACATGGAGTGCACACACGGAGGCAGGCAGACCAGAGAAGAACGGATCTGATTCAAAAGCCCTACACCGCCAGAACCCGCTCGCGAACCCTGCGCACACGCCGCACTGCGAAGGCGGTGCGATACGAATGTAAACGGTTTGCCGATGACGAGATCCGGTGAGAAGATCAGGTGGCAACGGAGTGGAAGTATCGGGTCGCTCCAGCTCTCCTCCTCCTCCTCCTCCTCCTCCTCCTCCTCCTCCTCCTCCTCCTCCGCCTCCTCTCCCTGTGTCCCCATCCACCCTCCATGCTGAACGCCACTCCAATCGACACCCCGATGCGCCGCGATCGAGTTTCTGTATACCTCCGGCTGCACTTTTCCGACGCCGTGGTGACGAAGGTGCGCCACCCTTGCCCCCGCCTCGCAAGGACGAGGCAAGCGCTCCCACATCCTCCCCGTTGTCACCTAAGAGGGAAAAGGAGAAGCGAAGGAAGAGAAGAAGCACGGATAATGAAACGTGAACATGTCGTGCTTGATCTCAGCGTTAGCTCGGGCGCTCATTGCATGCCGGGGAAAAGAGCGGATAGTGAAAGGTCGGCGGTTGCTACAGGTGCCCCTGGCCCAATGTGCCCCCAGCGTTTCGCTCCATCTTTGGGACCCCTGGGGCCCCCTGGGCCTCGCATGGGGTACTCTGGAGGCCTTGGCGGCCTCCTTGGAAATCCTGGGGGCACCATGGGCCAGGGGCACTTCCAGCAACACCCGAAGAGGGGGGAGCGGCCACTTCAAAGGGCCCGGCGTATGCGCTGGGGAAGCCTGTCCAAAGAATGATCGAAACCACCGCCTCCAAACCGGCCCAGGGAGGCCCTGCCCGAAGCATGGTGCATTACAGTGAGGTCGGGCCTGTCCCCCTACAGGGGGATTGTCGGCGAAAAAAAATCCAAAATGGCGCAAAATACTCAGAAAATCGTCCCCTGAATATTTTTGGACTGTTTTTGAATCTTCCTCCTGTAGAAGGTCAGGCCCGACTTAACATTACAGGGCACTCCGCCCGCCGAGCTGCCACCGCGCAGCTCGCTCTCCGCTCGCCCCCCGTCGCCGGGAGCGACCACGCCCAGGGGACCGTGCCCGACGGCGAAGGGCGCCCAGACCCGGCTACACGCGGCAGCCCTCGTCCGACGCTTCTCGCTGTCGGCGGCGAGCGAGGGGGGGGGGGGGGAAAGTGAGAATGAAGGAGGCACACAAATCCTAGGATCAAACCCTATTTTCACATGCTTTCTGGGTTTCTGTCTTCCCCCCCCCCACGGCCCATGTTCTCGCATGCGTTCCTGGGGAAGCGTCGATTCATTGTGTCTGTGTGTTTTTTCCCGCCTGAGAGAAGGAGCAGGCCTTCGCAGAAGGCGGCGGGACTTCTCAGAAGCCCTCGCGCCCACCGAGCAGTGTCTCTTGCGCCTTCGGGGGAAGGCCTGGACAGCTCCGCCGCAGGCCGGAGGGGGCTTCCGAGCCTCCCTGGGCAGGCTCGCCCCTTCTCGCTTCCTCCCCCCCCCACGCCCGCCGCCGACCTGGACTAACCCACACGTGTGCGCGCCAACTGAGCTGTGCGTAGCCCGTCTAGCTTTTAGCGGAAGAGGTTCGCTCTCGCCCCGCAGACCAAAAAAAAAAAGAGGCCCGCCCACTGTTCTGAGCAGGGACCGACCGTCCCGGCATTCCTAGAGCCCTACCACGACATGTCCCTAGAACCCAAAAGTGTTCTAGGAACAAAACCAGTGTTCGCAGAACATAAACCTGATGTGCTAAAACAAGACAGACTCCGCCAGAAATGTTCCAAGAACATGTCGTGGAAACCTCAAAAGGTTTTTAGAACATTGTTTGGTAGGGCTATAATTAAGTCGGGCGTGTCCCCCAACAGGGGGATCTGCGACGAAAAATGCAACATATTCAAAACATACTCCAAAATGATCAAAAAATACCCAAGAAATAGTTCCCAGACTATCTTTTGACTATTTTGGAACATTCCCCCTGCAGAGGGACAGGCCCGACTTAGGCCTATGGGCGAGCCGGGACGCCTCGCCACTGCTCGACTGTTGGGGCCTACGCACCGCACTGCACAGGCGAACCGCACCGGAGCCCCGAGCCCTGCAGCCTGCGGCCGGTGGCCCGCCACCCCAGCTGGAGGACGGCGGGCTGGCGCCAACCAAGAGCTTCCCCCGAGTGCTGTAGGGAGCCACATGCGAACCCTGCCCCCTACACCCCACGACTTCCGAGGGGGAGTGTGGGGTGCACTTCGTTCGGGAGCTCCCGAGCGAAATGAACCCCACCCTCCCCCTCAGAAATCGTGGGGGGTAGGGGGCAGGGTTCGCATGTGGCCCCCTATGCTGGACTCCCTGAGGAGGCGGTCGGAAGCTCTGGGGGGCCAACGTCGGGGAGAAACTTGAACTCCGACGTGCGGGATGGGCAGCAGGAGGTGGACGCAGAGGATGTAAAATTCAAGCGAGTGCCCTAATGTGGTTTCTTCGGGTGCCCATAGATGGAGCAGGAAGTTCGGCAGAGGGCCCCTAGGAGCAGCTCGACGGTCGCACTCCGCACCATACCTCCTCGTCCCCTCTCCCCCTCGCCCTCGCCCTCTTGCCCAGAGGCAACGGCCACAGGGAACCATGGATGCGTGACCGGACGAAGAGGAGAAGGAGAAGAAGCGTTTCGATGATTCTCCTCCCGACGTCTGTCTCCAAACATTTTAGTCGCAGCGTTGGCAGACGCGAAACCTCAGCGGGGGCGCTGATGCTGGGCGAACTGCACAAGCAAGCTGGAGACAGAGGACGGCGACCGCGGAGCAGAAGAGAGATGAAGGCTGCGCACTCCGAAGGATTCCATGAGCAGTGTGACGGCCTCAGGCTCTTTTGCATGGTCGTGCGAGGTGGGAAGGCGCCCAATACCATGACCGACCGGGGAGAGTGGGCGAGCAGTGCGGCCCTGCCAGGGCGCACGAGCTGCGGCTAACCGATGGGTGCTCGAGGCAGACCGGGAGGTGGCAGCACGCTGGTGCAAAATGCACGCTGCACTGGGGCAGAGTCGAAGCGCTGGTTACCAGCCTGGAACATATCCCTATCCCTATGCTGGGCACCTCCTCATCACGATGCCAATCTAGGGATTCCCTTATCTTTTGAGGGCGAATCCCTAAGATTGTCATCGCCTTTTGGCGTGTCAATCTGAGGGATAGGGATACGTTCGAGGCTGGTAAGCTGGACTGAGACCACGTCCGGGGGGTGCTGTCGACTGCCGAGCCGGTGAAGAGCTGCTGCCAATTGAGTTGCATGTCATGGGCGAGCAGGGTTAAGTCGGGCCTGTCCCCCTACAGGGGGATTTTCGACGAAAAATTAAAAAACAAAAAAAAAAAAAAAAAAAAAACTACCCCAGAGATAATGAAAAAATAATCTGAAAATAGTCTGGGGACTATTTCTTGAATATTTTTGACCTTTTTGGGGTTTTTGGGGGGTATTGTTTGGCTTTCGTCGAAAATCCCCCTGTAGGGGGACCAGCCCGACATAAACCAAGGTTCCAGGGGGTGCTGATGCAGCGCCGTGGTAGGAGACCGTGCGGACGGCGAGCGGGGCTCTGTCTCCAAACTCTGCTCCTCCTGGGCAAGGCCCAAGCAGAAGGGCCATGGGCAACGGGATGAAGACGAAGAAGCGACTGAATGTCAGCACGGAGCCAGCGGAAAAGGGGATGGAAGTGCTGGAGCAAGTGGAGCAGGGAGGGGCGCAAAGGCGAGGGGAGGCAGAGAGGCAGGGGCAAGGGATGGGGGAGGGGAATTGATCGGAGGTGACCACCAAATGCAATCGGAAACTGGAACGGGAGAGGAGAGGATACTCCTCCTCCTCCTCCTCCTCCTCCTCCTCCTCCTCTTCCTCCTCCTCCTCCTCCTCCTCCTCCTCCTCCTCCTCCTTCGCCCCTTCCTCCTCCCCCTTCCTGACGAACTTGACCCCAAACCTTCGTTTTGACCAGACTTTCGAGGCGGAACAAACCGTCTTGCCGAGAATCCCTTCGGAGGCCCACACGCGGCTGCAGAAGACGCCCAAGACGCAGCGACCTTCGAACCCGGAACCACCGGCTCACAGCGCGGCCAGCGCCGGCAGGGGGCCTCCAAAGTCCGCTCAGAGTCTGTCCCCGGACACCTTTGCGGGCCTTTCCTGGCCGGCCGGCCGAGCTGCGCCCAGGCCCCGGGGCCACCCCCAGCGGCCTCCAGAACCACGGCGACGACGAGCTCACAGCTCGGCCCGTGACCGGCGCCAGGGGCCTCCGCCTGCTCTCTTCGCAGTGGGCCGCCTCCTCCTTCGGCTGCACGCCAGAGTGGCCCTGGGCAAGAGTGCCCTTGTGAGCGTTTTTTTTGATTCGGCGTTTCGACGTGGGGCGAAAAGGGGTGGAAGGGGGGGAGAGAGGGGGGTCTGGCTCCAGACCTCTGCTCAGTGCGGCTGTTTGCGACAGTGCGTCCCATGAGGGGAGACTCCACCTGCTCGAAACAGGCGCCAAAAACAGCCAAGATCTACTCCATGGGGGGGGGCGGGGGGGGCGAGGGCCCGCGCCGATCGGCAAAACAATGAATAAAAAACGAACACCTTTGTGGGACGCACAGAGACATACTAATACTAAGTATATGTTCTCCTCGGAGGCGCGCGTCCGACCCGAACATCTAGCACACCCATCTTGTAGCAGATCGTTTCCCGAGGGGTGTGGCCAGGAAGCGCCCGCCACGACGCATGTACTATCAGATTTCTCGGTGCGCGCGTCGCGCCTGGGGGGTCGACGCACACACACACACAGAGTATTAGCATGCTGGGGTGACGCCGACTTTGGTGCGCGGCTTTCTGAGGGCCGCGGGGGGGGCCAAACACAAGCGCGCACGACGCTGCGATCGCATCGCGCTGGGCCCGGACCAAAGGTCACTCCGGCGAAGGGCCACTCTTACGTGTAGCCTTAGGTCGGGCATGTCCCCCTACAGGGGAATTTTTGACGAAAGAATTAGAATACTCAAAAAGCGCCCCCAAATAGTACAACGAACATATATATATATATAGACCCCAGACTATTTTTTACTGTTTTGGAATATTCCTTCTGTAGAGGGACAGGCCCGACTTAAGTGTAGCCGAATCCCGCTGGGCGCGCGCGCGAGCGCGACGACGACTCCCCCCTGCGCGGCCAGCGCCGCCCCCCGCGGGCCTCCGCACGCTCTCCGCGGTGGGCAGCAGGTCCACCAGGAAGACGAGCTGCGACCGCGCGAGCACGAAGCAGCACCTGCACACGACGTCAAGACGAAGCCAGGCCGAGGATGGCATCGGGCGAGGATGAATCGAGAACCCCCGAGATGCGGCGGCTCTGGAGGATGTCTCGGGCGCCGCGACCTGCTGAGAGCGTTCCGGAGCGCTCTGAGAGCGTTCCTGAACGCTCTGGAACGGGTTTGTCCTCGTGCTGGCCCCGTCCGACGACGGGAGTGAAGCTGGCTACTCAGTTCGGGGAGAGATCTGCTCGGTGCGACGAGATTTGAAAGGTTTGGAAGGGTGAGGGATTCAATCTTGGAAGCTGGATGGTCCAGATTTTGGAAGATTGAAAGATCTTTCAATCAAAGGGGTCTGGATTGAAAGATTGAAAGCTTGCAGAAAGAATTCAATCTGGACGATCTGGAATTATTGAAATATATTTAAGCCTGGAAGAGGCGGATTGGAATAATGAAAGATTGAAAACCCTTCGATTCCCGAGGACCAAGATTGAAATATCGAAACAATCACACAACCTTCATGTTTCAATCCGCCACGTGGCCTGAGGGGCGCGGACCCTACTGGAGCGCTCTTGCATGGTTGGTTTCCAGAACAACACATCAACCCTTACCAGTTTTCAACACACCGTGCTTTTTTCAATCCAGGATATCAGGATGGAGATACCTTCCAATAATTCATTTGCAAATTCGGGCTTGCTTGACTGACAAATCTGTCAATATTCAAGTCATTCAATCCGTATCCTCCAGATTGGAAGACCATTCTACCACTCAATGTTCATTTCAGTATCTCATTCAGATACCTTCAAACTGAAATATGCTTCAATATTTCAATCCTTCAATCGGCGCACACACGCCACCGAACCCATCAATCGCTCAACCTTTCAACCTTTCAATCCGAACAGCGGAAACCGAATGCTCTCAGTCGCTCGAGTATTTCAATATCTCAATCCCTGTCCAGGCCCCGCTGCGAAAACAAAACTGCAGCTGCTGCCCATTGTGAGACGTCGGCCGGGCAAATCTCTTCGATGGGTTCACCCAGCCCAAACGCTTCTAGAGGCCTCGTCGGCAGGGGCCTCGGGCTCCAGGTCGAGGACGATCCTGGGAAATGGGACGGGAGCCAGGGCAGAGCAGGCCGAGAGAACGGGACCCCGAAATCCCTGCGACCACTCACAAGCGAGAAGACCAAACTCGGAGCACTCCCGATACTTTCATTGAGTAGGATAAGAGCAGCGCTGAAAACTCTTGATCAAATACGCACGCCTTTCCGTGGCTCGAACCAGCCTTGAGGATGTGGATCTCGACGACATCACGCGAGCGAACCCGCAGGCAATTCGTTAGCTTCAATGATAAGCGTGGGACGCGCAAATCAAAATATATATCGCATCGGTCTCCATCCCAGAACAACCTCTGCACAGATGCGATGGGGTCTGGAGGGCGTCAGCTCTCTCGGCCGACAAGACCGCCACGTGCCGTAGTCACACAGTGGAGTGTCCTCAAAGCCTTTCGAATTCTGTACTAAGTACGCGTTGTGGTATTTTTGTCTAAGAGACCAAGTCAAACTCCCAATTGCCATATACTGTCCTTGTTGGTGTCGCGCAGCGTATTTAAGGCCAACATTGACTTCAAAACCTTGTGCTGTTCTACGATGTCGAACCCACGACAGGGGGAGTGAAGAGCCCCAGGAACCCTCTTGCGGCACAACGGCACCCGAGATCGCCCAGAGGCCCCCGGGAGGGCGCGCGGGGGGCCCCCAAGGGGCAGCCCTGAGGCGTCCACCAGAATCCCCCCCCCCCCCGACACCCCGAAGAGGCCTCCAAGAGGCGCCCGACGACCGAGACACCCCAAGAAGCCCCCAAGATGCCGCAGGTCCACGACCCAAGCACGGTGCCGGGGTGGGCCGAATGCCACCAGACCCGCCGCGCCCTGTGGATGCATCGCAGGGAAGCCTGGCGTGCTGGACCCTGCTGGTTTCTCCCCTGGGCCTCGGGTCCGTGCCGCCGGCCTCCAGGAGAAAATGGTTGCCGTGCCTCCCCAACGGCCGTGTCGCTATACTGGGGTCCAGACGGCCCAAGATGGCCTCCCAGACGGCCCCAGCGGGTCCAAGATGGCTCCCTGAGTCCGCCCAAGAAGCCTCCAAGATGGCCCAAGACGGTCAGGGAGGCCCCCAAGAGGCGTCCAAGACGGCTCAAGCGGCCTCCAAGGTCCACCAGGAGGGCCCGAAGAGGCCAAAATCATTGATTTCCATGGGATGTTTGAAGGATTTTGGCATAAGCGTCTTTTCTGCCTTCTGACAGCCCAAGACGGCCCAAGAGGCCCTCAAGATCGCCTCAAGATGGCCCTAAAGTCCTCCAAGATGACCTCATGACGGCCCAAGAAGCCTCCAAGACGGCCCCAAGAGGCCTCCAAGGTCGCCCAAGATGGTCCAAGATGGCCTCCAAGACGGCCCAAGAGGGCCCAAGATGGTCTCCAAGACGGCCCAAAAGGGCCCAAGATGCTTCCAAGTCCGCCCAATAAGTCCAAGACGGCCCGAGAAGCCCCTAAGACGCCCCCAAGACGGTCAAAGAGGTTCCCAAGAAGCCCCCAAAAGCCCCCAAGAGTCCCAAGGAGGCCCCCAAGAGGCCTCCAAAAGGCCTCCAAAAGACCCCCAGGAAGCTCCCCAGGATGTTTCACGGATGATGGCATTCGCTTCTTTTCGACCTTCCGACGGGCCAAGACGACCCAAGAGGCCCTGAAAATCGCGCCAAGATGGCTCCAAAGGCCTCCACGATGACCTCCCTCGCCTGATCTTCTTCTTCCTCCTCCACGTGTTCTCCTCGGGGAACACATGGTCCGATAGCTCCGCCAAGCTCTAACTAAATTTTCGGCCACATAGGCGATTCCAAAGAAAGCAGGGGGCGGCGGTGATTCACCAGAGGCGACTTCGATCCGCCGCCACCGTTGCCTACCGGAAGGGCGCTCAGTGTGCCAAAAAGTACTGCTCCCCTTGGCCTTTCACCACCCCAAAACGTGGATACAGTAAGCGCTTTCGTCGAATATTGCCCCTAGATAGCATAGCCTCCACGATGGTGCGAAGACGCGATGGCCAAGAATAGCCTCCAAGACAGTCCAGGATGACCTCGGCGACGTTCAGGAAAGCCCGAAACGGCCCGAGATGGCTCCAAGAGGACATCCCGGAGGCCCCGAAAAGGCGAAACTTACAACACACACGCACACAAACCACGACACGGGTTTACTGACGGTGGCCTCCTGACGCGCTCGAGCTTTCCATCGCCAAGGATGGCCCTATGGGCCCCCAAGATGGCCAGGAGACGGCCCAATAATATGGTCCAGGAGGGCCCCAAGTCAGCCCAGGATTCCCCCAAGACGGTCCAAGATGGCCCCAAGAGATCCCCAAGAAGCACCAGGAAGCCTCCACGAGGGTCCCCAAGAGGCCCCAAAGTCCTCCACCTTCTCCTTGCTATGCTGTTCCTGCTCCTGCTCCTGCTCCTGCTCCTGCTCCTGCTCCTACTCCTGCTCCTCCTCCTCCTCCTCCACCTCCTCCTCCGCCTCCTCCTCCTCCCTCTCCTCCTCCTCCCCCTCCCCCTCCTCTACCTCAGCCGTTTTAGAATCCGAGGCACGGGGCGCGCACGGGCGGTTCGAGCGCCGACTTCGGAATGGCCTCGCGCTCGAGAGCCACGAGGATAGGAGACGTAGCGCCCAACATCATTCGCTACAGAGAAGCTGGAAAAAGTGGAAGCTGAAAAATCAATGAGAGTGGAAGTGGCCAGGGCGGAAAAAAACTGGCAGCGGGCGAAGCGAGCCCGAAACAGTAGGGATGCGGTCGCCAGGGCCAGAAAAAACAAAGGAAACTTGGCCAGGGCTGGAAAGAGTGGAAGGGCTGGCCCGCAGCTTCCATGTACAGTGCTGAGATCAGGCGCGCGCGAAGCCGCCAGGAGGAGTGCCCTTCCCCGCCCCTTCCTCGCTCTCTCCCTTCTCCCCCTGCCCCTTGCCTCTTTGCTGACGGACGTGCAGCGGCGCCAGTCACGCGGGGTGCTCGCGCAGAAGTGCGGGACCTGTTCGCGCGACCAGTTCGGTCGAAGGCGGCGGCAAGGGGCGAGCCAACGTCGTAAGAGACAGACCTGAAGTCAGCTCGCGCGGGAGACGCCACCATGCGAGACGGGCTGCACAACATCAGGTACAGCGCCGGGACCGTGCTCATGCTGCACGGCTGGCGCGCGAGCGCCGCCCATGAGCTGCTAGGCTCTAGAAGCGGCACAGGCACGACGGGAAAGCGTGATGGCGCACTGTGGGCACCGCACCCAGCCGTCCTACAGTCGGGGCCCTGAAGAAGGAACGCTTTTCGTTGGGGAGGGGCTCGGTGTTCCTTGATCGTTTTACAGTTTGCCTCGGGTTCCCCTTAGGTTGTTGTATGGGAAATCGAAATTTAACTTATGGAAAAGACGGGCCTCGTTCCTTATTTAGGGTTCCTTAGGTCAACGCCCCGACTGTACGGTGCAGTGATGGAGTGGGCGCTGGTAAGAAAAGCAGGCAGGAGCAGCATCTGGCCTTGCGGAACAGGCGCGGGGGGGAGCGGGCGCCCAGCCACGGCGCGGAAGGCAACTCGCGCGAGGAAGTGGGCGCGGGAGAAGGCTCTGAGCTAACAAGCGGGAATCAGCTCTTGCGAAGAGGGTGCGCAGTGGCAGCATTCGGCACTGCGAGGGCGGAGACAGGGGAGGGTCATCAACAGTGCAGGGATCACAGAGTGTGCGAGGGCGTGCAGTGGCAAAAACTGGCACTGTGCTGAGGACGCAGCAGAGAGACATCAGCTACAACGCCGGGGCCAATTCTTATGAGAAGGAGCGCGGTGACAGGATCTGGCAGGGTGAGAAGGCGACCGCGCAGGCATCACGCCAGCAACAACTCGGGGATCAGCTCGTGCGAGAAGGTGGACGCAGAGGAGGTCCATCAGCTACCATACACGGATCAGCGCTTGAGAGAAGGCGTGCAGTGGAAGCAGGGGCGAAGCAAAATCGGTGACGATGTTGGGACTCGCTCGTGCGTGACATGGCCGAGGGTGCGAAGGCTTGCAACCACTGGCCAAGAGGATAGCAGTGGGCCTAGGGTCTAGGCCGTCAGCTCTTATGCGAGAGGGCCCAGGTAGGCACCAAAGAGCTCCCTTTGAGGAGTCCCTTGAATATGTCTGGGAGCAACTGCAGCCGCTCATCGCCGCCGTTCTTCGAGAATCGAGTCTCTGGATATTCAGCCTGTAGAATCCTGTAGAACCCTCATCCTCCTGCCCCTCGTCTTCTCTGCAGTGGTACCCCAATGGTGTACAGCGCGGCTGTGGAATCACTTAGTTCAATAGATTGAACGAAAACTTGCTCAACGTTTGGCTGCATAGACGCTACCAAAGGCAGTGGGCGGCGGTGGTTCGCTGCAGGCGTCTTCGATCAGCCGCCCACGTAGCCTGCTAGAGCGATGCTTCGCGTGCCAGGGTGTGCCAAGGAGCTTACTCTGTGCGGCCTTCCAAATTGGTTCCTGTGGCATCCGGCCCAAGCTGCTCATATGGATCCATATTGAGACCACACTGAGCACTGCGGCTCCCATTTTGCCATACTGATTGGCCACATGCTCGAAGAAGAATGTTGTATTATGTACGTTCATACAAGTTGCGCTCATATGTGCGCAACGACCCAGAAGGCAAGTGCATCATTCAGGAATCCAAGACTCAGTTCACCTTGATGATAGTTTGGTCTGGTCCAACTCTGGCTCAATACAATCCTCCGATCGATCGTCTGTATGTGACTGGTTCATCCCCATGCCCAAAATCTTGCACGTAACTCGACCGTGCAGGGTTAGGACTTACTTTGCGTTGATCGATATCAAACCCTCAGCTCAATAGAATGCAGTAGGTCCCACCCACGGCGTCGGAAATCATTTCAAACGGCCGTGCCAAAGTATTGTTTGTGAGCTCGTCCTCGCACACGATCAGCTGAACAAGTCCGCCGAAACCGATGTTTCTAGTTCAGCGGCACTGGGGCCCGCGCAGGTGAGATTGCGCACACGGTACTTGACGCTGCCATTGAAAGGTAAGACTTCGATCCCCAATCCACATACATCCACGAACTGGCGCGATATAATCCTTTTCCTCCTCGTGAGGCTACACGGCCATAACGACATGATGATCGGCAAGGTCGTGGTCATCGAGACCGACGCCGGTCAATATGCAACAAGACTTGAACAAGTCGTGGCCGTCGAAGAGGACGCGATTGGCACCGCCTTGAAACAGCGCAGGTCGGATCACATCGATGACGATCGCCAGCTGGTTCCCGAGGATGGCACCAAGGGAGTGCTCCAGACCGAGAGGGACGACGACAACGACGGGGCGAGTCGCACGAAGTTGAAATCCGACGGTATCAGCGTCACGCAGATGGTGCCCAACGTCGCCCTGGGTACTTAACGACGTGGTGCGCTGGATTTTGCCCCTGATCGTGTCGCTCACCAAGCAGCACGCGCAGCTAGTTATCACGAAGGACGTGAGCGAGGGCGTAAATGTGGGTTGGCTGAAGCTCGCGGTGAGGATGGGCGTACAGAAGGCGCCGTCCAAGCCATGAAGACGGACGTGTTGGAGTGGAGGATTTGCTGCAGGTCGCACCGCTGACCTCGCTGACTATGCATGATGTCGTGTCAGAGCGAGCGCGAGATCCTGCTGACGCTCGCGGAGTGGCTTGGTTGCTGATGAATGTGCCGACGCGGTTCGCGAGGATGCCGACGACCCGGACGAGCATGGTGGTCGTCGGCACCCGAATGCCCGCATTCTGGTGCCGTCAAGAGCGAGGCAGGCCCGTCGCTCTGATGCCCGCGTGCGATCGAGGCCGCGCGCCTGGGGCCTGCAGGGGAGGTCAGGGCGCGGGCCGGCGACCCCGTCGGGGGGCAGCAGGGGCACCTGTGGGCGCTGCACTGTTCCGAGCAGGGTCTCGGCTCGTCGGGGGGGGGGACATCTGTGCTCCCCTTCCCCCCACCCACCCCACCCCTCCTCTCCCTCATCGTGCTTCCCCCCTCCCTCTGCCCCCGCCCTCCTGTGTGACAAGCGGGGCTCGGCGCGTCTAGGGGGGGTGACATCCCAGCTCCATGGCCCCCCCCTCATCTCGGCTACACGCAAGAATGACTCTGGGTAAGGAGTGACCTTTGGTGCGCGGCGTTTGGGTGGCCACGAGGGGGCCAAACACAAGCGCGCAAGACGCCACTGACGCCTCGCGTTCTTCTTTCCGTGGGCCCGCTAGGCCCGCACCAAAGGTCACTTCGGCGAAAGATCAACCATACGTCTAGTCGATCCTCTCCCTCCTCGTGCTTCCCCCCTCTTTCTGCCCCCCCCTGTCTCTCGTCGTGCTTCCCCCTCCGAGAGAACGCGTTTCACGGGCGCTTACCTTGGGAATATTCGGTGGCGCGTTTCGAACCGGGGGGTGGGCCCCCCCCCCCAGCACTCGATCAAAACCAGGGGGACTCCCCTCCCCCACCCCCCCCTCTTCGGCGCCGGCGCTGGCGGCCGCCAGCAGCGCCCACGGCGGGGACGCAGCAACGATGAAAAGAGGCAGCCCGGGGGGGAGGGTTTCCAACCCCTCCCCTTGGCGCCGGGGGGGGGAGAGGGATTTCAAAACTCCCCCCCTCGCGCCGGCGCCAGCGCTGGCGGCGGCGACGGCGGGGACGCAGCGACGATTATGACCACTACCACCACCACCACCACCACTACCACCACCACCACCGCCTCAACCCACCATCAACAACAGCACCACACAACCACCACCACCACCACCACCACCACCACCACAGCCACCACCACCACAACCACAACGAATCACCACCACCACCACCACAACCACGAAAACCCACCACCTCTACCACCACCACCACAATCTACCACACCACCACCAGCACCGCCACAACCACCACCACTACCAGCAGCACAACCCACCGCCATCACCACAAACCACCACACCACCACCACCACCAAGACCGCCACCACCACCACCATCACCACGTCCACAAACCACCGCCACAACCACCAGCACCACACAACCACCACCACAAACCACAACCACACCACCACCACACCACCATAACCACCACGACCACAACTCACCATCACCACCACCACCACAAAAACCCACGACCACCACAATCTACCACACCACCACTACAACCGCCACAACCACCACCACTACCAGCAGCACAACCCACCACCACCACCACCACCACAAACTACCACACCACTGCCACCACCACCGCCACCACCACCACCACAAGCACCACCACCACCACAAACCACCGCCACAATCACAACCCACCACCACCACCACCACAAACCACCACCACACCACCACCAAACCACCACCACCACAACCACAACCCACCACCACCAAACCACCACCACCACAAACCACCACCACACCACCACCAAACTACCGCCACCACCACCACCACCACCTACCGCCACAACCACCACCACCACCACCACCACCACCACAACAACAAACCACCACAACACCACCACTACAACCACCACCACCACCAACACCACCACCACCACCACAACCTACCACCACCAACACCACCACCACCGTCCTCGCCGACGCTCCCCGCCACCGCCGCCCGCCGCCGCAGGCGCCAGCGCCGGCCCCGAAATGGATCGTCGTCCCCGCCGCCGTCGCCAGCCGCCGCCGACGCAAGCGCCGGCCCGAGGAGAGGGGAAGCAGGGGGGTGGTATGAACCCCCCCCCTCCGTCACGGGAGGGGGGGGGGTTCAAATCCCCCCCCCCCTCCATGCAGGGGGAGGGGGGGGGGTCCGGTTCCAACCCCCCCCCCCCCCCTTCCAAGCGACCGCAGAACGTGCTCTTTCCCCCCTCCTCTCCCTCGTCGTCCTCCGCCCCCACCCCAACTCGCCCTCGTCCTGCCTTATTCCCCCCCCCTTCCTCCCCCTCGTGCTCCCCCCCTCCTCTCCTCCCTCGTCCTGCCCTCCCCCGCCCCCCGCTCCCCTCCCCCCTCTCTGCTCCCCCCCGCCCCTCCTCCTGTGCCACCCCACCCACCCCCCGCCTCCCTCCCGCAGCCTTAAGTCGGGCGTGTCCCCCTACAGGGGGATTTACGACGAAAAATAAATTCTTTACGCTTCGCGTATCCCCACCAGCCCATCTCACAGCAGCAACTCTTGCGAAGCATGCCGACAGTCGTGTTTTTCAGGCGTGTGTCCGCTTGGCCCCGCATATCTCCCCTGTTCCTCCTTCCTCCCGCCTCCTTGTACATCCTCCTTGTGGGGGGAGCGGGAGAAGGACGAGGCGGAGGAGGAGGGAGAGAAAGCGCTCCTCGTGATTTGAGTCGTTTGGGGTTTCTCGTCCTGGTGTGAGTCGTTCGGGCCCTTCTTCCTGGTGTGAGTCGTTCGGGCTCTTCGTGGTGTGAGTCGTTCGGGCTCTTCGTCCTGGTGTGAGTCGTTCGGGCTTCTCGTGGTGTGAGTTGTTCGGGCCCCTCATCCTGGTGTGAGTCGTTCGGGCCCCTCCTCCTGGTGTGACTCGTTCGGGCTCCTCGTGGTGTGAGTCGTTCGGGGCCCGCGTCGTGGTGTGAGTCCTTCGGGCTCCTCGTGGTGTGAGTCGTTCGGGCGCCTCGTCCTGGTGTGAGTCGTTCGGGCCCCTCCTTGTGGTGTGAGTCGTTCGGGCTCTTCGTGGTGTGAGTCGTTCGGGCCCCTCGTCCTGGTGTGAGTCGTTCGGGCTCCTCGTGGGGCCTCTTGGGGGCCTCTTGGAGCCTCTTGGGGGGGGCCTCTTGGGGGCCTCTTGGGGGCCTCTTGCCTCCTCTTGGGGGCCTCTTGGGGGCCTCTTGGGGGCCTCTTGGGGCCTCTTGGGGGCCTCTTGGGGGGCCTCTTGGAGGCCTCTTGGGAGCCTCCTGGGGGCCTCTTGGGGCCATCTTGGGGCCTCTTGCGACCTCCTCAGAAGCGCAAATGAGAGCTGCCCCCTGAGGAGGACAAAATGAGCCCAAAACCTTCGTAAAATCAATGATTTTGCTATGAAGGAAGATGGGCGCGGCCCCCTCAGGACGCCAAAATGGAACCAAAACCGTAGTAAAATCAATGATTTTGGCTTCAAAGAAGAGCAGAGGGGCCTATCTCCGTCCCCCCGTCGGGGCCAGAATCCTCGTGAGGGTCGTCGTTTTTTGGCCCTCCCAGGAGTCGAAATTGACCCCCCCTGACGACCCGCCGGGCCCCCTGTCCAGGTCCAGGGGGAGGGGGTAGGGGGAGGGGTAAACCCCTCCCCGAAGGGGAAACCGGGGGGTTGAGGACAGAGCGGGCTCTCTAAACCACTCACGCCCAAAGGGCTGGTGGGATTACCCTGGCGACGTACCCAACCCCTGCGCAAAAGCGGGGCGCAAATAGTTTAGGATACTTTATAAGGGGGCGATGACGGAGCGAGGGTTACATATGTCTGCAGACGGAATTCGGGCGACTCGCAGGACACTGGCTACAGGAAAAGGGCTTGATAAAGCTGATGAGTTACAATTCCTGAGCACTCCTAGCCACTTCGAAAACGGGGATCACAGCAGGCCTCGAAAGTGGCGACAGTCTCACAGATCGCAGCCCCGCAGGGATGGCGAGGTCTAATTTGGGTCCGCGCGTGGCGTCACTGTGCTGGGCCCCCCAGCAGGCCTCGAAAGTGGCGATAGTTTCACACATCGCAGCCTCCAGGGGATGGCGAGGTCTCATTTGAATCTACCCGTGGCGTCACTGCGCTGGGCCCCCCAGCAGGCCTCGAAAGTGGCGACAGTTTCACAGATCGCAGCCCCCAAGGGATGGCGAGGTCTCGTTTGAATATGCCCGTGGCGTAACTGTGCAGGGCCCCCCAGCAGGCCTCGAAAGTGGCGACAGTTTCACAGATCGCAGCCCCCCCAGAGATGGCGAGGTCTAATTTGAATCCGCGCGTGGCCCTCACTGTGCTGGGCCCCCCAGCAGGCCTCGAAAATGGCGACAGTTTCACAGATCGCAGCCCCCCAGGGATGGCGAGGTCTCATTTGAATCTGCCCGTGGCGTCACTGTGCTGGGCCCCCCAGCAGGCCTCGAAAATGGCGACAGTTTCACAGATCGCACCCCCCCAGGGATGGCGAGGTCTAATTTGAATCTGCCCGTGGCCCTCACTGTGCTGGGCCCCCCAGCAGGCCTCGAAAATGGCGACAGTTTCACAGATCGCACCCCCCCAGGGATGGCGAGGTCTCATTTGAATCTGCCCGTGGCGTCACTGTGCTGGGCCCCCCAGCAGGCCTCGAAAGTGGCGACAGTTTCACAGATCGCAGCCCCCCCAGGGATGGCGAGGTCTATTTGAATCTGCCCGTGGCCCTCACTGTGCTGGGCCCCCCAGCAGGCCTCGAAAATGGCGACAGTTTCACAGTTCGCAGCCCCCCAGGGATGGCGAGGTCTAATTTGAATCCGCACGTGCCCTCACTGTGCTGGGCCCCCCAGCAGGCCTCGAAAATGGCGACAGTTTCACAGATCGCAGCCCCCCAGGGATGGCGAGGTCTAATTTGAATCTGCGCGTCGCCCTCACTGTGCTGGGCCCCCCAGCAGGCCTCGAAAATGGCGACAGTTTCACAGATCGCAGCCCCCAAGGGATGGCGAGGTCTAATTTGAATCCGCGCGTGGCCCTCACTGTGCTGGGCCCCCCAGCAGGCCTCGAAAATGGCGACAGTTTCACAGATCGCAGCCCCCCAGGGATGGCGAGGTCTAATTTGAATCTGCGAACTGTGTGGGCCCCCCAGCAGGCCTCGAAAGTGGCGACAGTTTCACAGATCGCAGCCCCCCAGGGATGGCGAGGTCTAATTTGAATCTGCGCGTCGCCCTCACTGTGCTGGGCCCCCCAGCAGGCCTCGAAAGTGGCGACAGTTTCACAGATCGCAGCCCCCCAGGGATGGCGAGGTCTAATTTGAATCCGCGCATGGCCCTCACTGTGCTGGGCCCCCCAGCAGGCCTCGAAAATGGCGACAGTTTCATAGATCGCAGCCCCCCAGGGATGGCGAGGTCTAATTTGAATCCGCGCGTGGCCCTCACTGTGCTGGGCCCCCCAGCAGGCCTCGAAAATTGCGACAGTTTCACAGATCGCAGCCCCCCGCAGGCAAGACAGGAAGAGGCAGGGAGGGAGGAGGAGGAAGGAAGGAAGGAAGGAGTGGAGACCACACTGCTCTATTCAAAACGAATACCCAACCAAGGAGGGTTGGGAAAAATACCCAAAAAATTGCCCAAAAAGGTCGAAACATAACCGACAAATAGTCCCCAGATGTTGTTTGGACTGTTTTGGAATATGTTTAAAATATGTTTTATTTTTCGTCGGAAAATCCCTCTGCAAGGGGACATCCCCGACCTAACCGCAGCCGGGCGGCGCCTCTGCCGGTCCAGCGGCAGCGGGGGGTCCCCGACGCACATGGCGACCTGGCCCTGGGGGGCGGGGCGCGCGGCGACGGGGGGCGGCGGGGCGCGCGGCGGCGGGCCCTCGCTCGTCGATGTCGGAGGGGGGGGTCGGAGGAGGAGGAGGAGGAAGAGGAGGAAGAGGAGGATCGAGACGGAGGAGGAGGAGGAGGAGGAGGAGGAGGAGGATCGAGACGGAGGAGGAGGAGGAGGATCGAGGAGATGGATGAAGAGGATAAGATGGACGAGGAGAAAAGAAGACCGAGGAGGAGCATCGAGGGTACGAGAAAGGGATGACACAATCTAGTGTGAGTGAGGAGGGGGATCAAGGAGGAAGAGGAATGTCGAGAAGACAAGAAGCGAGGTGGAGGGGGAGGAGCAGGAGGATGGCGCAGGAGAGGAGAATAGAGGATGAAGAGGAGAAACGAGGAGGGGAAGGATCGAAAAGAATAGTCGAAGAGGAAGAGGATAATCAGAGTGGATACTGGAAACTGATGAGGATGGGAATCGAGGATCGAGGGTCACTCTCGGGGACAGGCGTTCGGCCAGACTGACCGACCGAGATGGAAGGCGAGGAAAGCGTTGCCGGTGACGGCGACGACGACGATGACGAGGGATCCAAAATGACGGGACGAGGACGACGACGATGGACGACGGCGAGAGTCGATGGAGGGCGACGAGGACGAGGGACGAGGGACGACGATCACGCGCCACGACGTTGAGACTGTGTGACGACGACGACGACCACGACGACGACGACGACGACGACGACGACGAGGACAACGGCGACGACGAAGGCAGCAATGACGGCGAAGAAAACGAGGAGGGACGTGGAACGACGGCGAGGGACGACCGCGCAGAGGACGACAACAACATTGACGACGGTGGCGACGACGACGACGACGACGACGAAAAGAAGCGGAGCGCGCTGCCTGCGGCGCGCCTGGTGGCGGCGGCCGCCGCTCCTTCTGCAGCGCCGAGACAACGCAGTCGTGAAGGATGGCAGAGGACACGCTGCGGGGGGGGCAGAGGCCGAGCGGGCGGACTGCTGGGGCTGCGTTCAAGAAGAAACTGGAGGAGACGATGACGATAATCATCATCATCATCATCATCATCATCATCATCATCATCATCAGCATCAGCATCAGCATCATCATCATCATCATCATCATCATCATCATCATCATCATAATCATCATCATCATCATCATCACCATCATCCTCATCATCATCCTCATCATCATCATCATCATCAGCATCAGCAGCATCATCATTATCACAACAATAATAATAGTAGTAGTAGTAGTAGTAGCAAAAAACAATAATAACAATAAGGGGATGAATACTAATAGTCTCAATGATAATGATAGTAATAATCACAATCATAATAATAATGATAATAATGATGACAATAATAAGGATAATAATGATAAAAATGAGAAAAACAAAAAATGGTAATCATAATTTTGATGATAAGAAACACAATAATACTAACAATGATGATGATGATGATAATGCTAATAGTGATGATTTCTATGATTATAATGATGATGGTGATGATGGTGGTGATGGCGATGGTGATGCTGATGATACTGATGGTGATGATGATGCTGATGATGATGGTGTTGATGATGATGGTGACCACGAAGGTGATGATAATGATAATGGCGGATTATGATAATGATGATGAAACTGATGATTACGATGATGACGATGGTGATCCTGATGATGATGATGATGATGATAATGATGGCAAAGATGGTGTCGACGACGATGACGACGGATGCCGACTATGCTCAGGACGATGATTACGATGATGTTGATGTTGTTGTTGTTGAGGATGATGATGATAATGATAATGGTGATGGTGATGGTAAAGGTGATGATGATGATGATGATGATGGGTATGCTGACGACGGTGATCAGGGTGCGATGACAATGACTAGAATTAATAACAGGATGGTCTTGATGGCACCACTAGCGGGATTATTGTAAGGGCGAATGAGGCCGCAGATCTTTGGCAACAAAACAAATACATGGATACCCACTTGTTGTTGAACCAAGTTACTTGTAATGTTTTTCGGGCTTTGGAGACTCCAACACGGCCCAAGAAGCAACCCGGACAGGCCCAAGAGGTCCCCAAGAGGGCCCGATCAAGCGTCCAGTGAGGCGAACTCCCCGACAGCACACGATGAGTCAGAGCTAGGCTGAGTGCCTTCAACGTTGCCTTTACACTCTTGAAAGAGGACAAGGAGGAGGAGGAGGACGAGGACAAGGACGAGGAGGAGTACAAGGACGAGGACGAGGAGGAGAAGGAGAACGAAAGGAAGGAGGAAGAGGGAAAAGAGGATCAAGAGGTCGACGGAGAAAGCGGCGACGATCACGAGGAGGGAGAGAGAAGGAAAGGGGGCAGAGGAGGCGGAGGAGGACGACGACGGTGGACGGACGGATATACGAGGAGGCGGGCGGCCTTGGCCCCCAACCCCCCACCATGACCTCCTCATTCTCAACTTGGCCTTCCTCCTCCAGCTCCCCCGAGTCCTCCCCCGCCCCCTCGTCCGCCTCCACCTCCCCCCTGGGCGACACAGGGGCCGGGGAAAGAGGAGCAGGAGGACGACGAGGGCGAGGTTGAAGAGGCCGGCAAGTGTAATAAGTTCTGGGTCGGGATGCCGGTCAAAGACGCGGACGCTTCATCGGCCAGCACCTGACCCCCACGCTCAACCAGGGGCGCTGCCGATGCCGACGCGGCCCCACCGCACCCAACCCAACGGGGGGGGGGCGAGGGTAAGCAGAGGAGGGACGACGGAGAGAAAACCCGGACTAGGGTTGCCGACCTGCTGCCCATCCAGCCCTGTCAGAATTCAAGCCTGGTGCCCACGGGGGAAAAGCCACGCAAAACGACCCCACTATCCCGTGGTCAATTCCGGGATTTTCCCTCCAGCTGGCAGACCACATTCGACTAAGTCCTGGCATTAGGAGCAGCAAAAGAAGGGAACACAGAAGGAATTAGCTTAGACGAGAGGGGAGGAAGGAGAGGGAGAGAGACAGCGCAACAGTTCGGACGGCGGTTCTTCCAGGCCTAACGGGGCTTGACTGCCACTCAGGCCTGCCTCACACTGGCAGGAAGTGCCGCAAGTCGAGCAGGGGGTGGGGAAACACACCCTCCCCCCTGGCGCGGACTAGAGAGATCTCCGACTGATAGTAACAAGTCTCGGTGGTGATCCGGGCGTAAAGGCCCCGCATGCGCACCCGAGCATCAGGCGCCAGCTTCCAACGTGCTTTGGTCTGTACGCACCGGCACCTCAGCGAACCGCGGCGCCACCTCGGGGCATACCCGCAGCGGCCCTGCGCGAAGGCCGCGGAATATTTGCCGGCTGCTCTCGAGGCGAACCCGAGAGAGGAGAGGCTAGCACTGGCGCGCTAGCGACGAGCATCACGGCGCGCCCGGAGGCTTCCTTGGAGTGGCCCCGACAGAAGCAGTCGGACAGGGCGGACAGAGCTCGTTGGAGGCTTTCCAGCAGAAGGCTAGACTGTTCCCAGATGGACAGACGGGCCTGCGCAAAGTTCGCGGCGAGCTGTCGCAGCGCCGCAATGCGATGAGAACAGTTCTTGGTTCACGATCTGGCTGCTGCCTGGCAGCCATGAGGTGCTGCACGAGGGCACGCCTGCGATCCGTTCGCTGCATCGGTGGCCCACCAACGCCCGCACCCTCTCGAGCGGTACGCCAGCCCCCGCGCCCCAGTGGGAGGGGGAAACGACGCGGCGGCCGCGCGCGGCGGCCGCGGAGGCCTGGTCCTGGTGGACGCCCGCCCCTCGAGGCACCTCCCCAAAATGCCATTGCTGACGTCGTCCTGCGCTTCCATCGTCGGCGTTGCGACCGTCGCTACTGTCACCTCCTGATGGACTGGCAGCAGTTCCTGCGTCGTTGACCAAGGCCGAACCCAGCCCCACTGGGCCCCCGCCTGCTCCTTGGAAGTCGTTGGTTTAACATGCCCATGGGCCATCGAGATCTTCGAAAAAGTCTGACCCCGGCGGGCCGCGCGGTTGCGAGGGGTCGCCGGGTGAGCCCAGTGGCCCGACGCCCCCTTGCCCTAAGGCTTGCGGGGTTGGCTTCATCCTGCCGAGATCAACCCTGGAGGGACCCGCGAGCCTGTCTGGCAAGGGCAACGCGCGGCGGCAACAGCCATAGATCGCGGCGGCAGCGCTGCGGAGAACCGTCGCGCATGCGCGCCGCCACTTGGCTCTGCCCATGGCATCTCGCTGCAGGGCGCGCCGACGCCCTCCGGCAACGGCGAGCTCCTCTGCGCGGCGGTCGAAGGCCTCCGCGGTCGGCCCGATTCGATCTTCATCATCACATTGCCCACCGAGATGGCTCGCGACTTTCTGGGCCTGGAACACGTCAGGCTCGGCTCGCATCATTCGAGGGGTCTCTGGCCAGAGATCGGCCTCCTCCCCGGTGACTTGCGCGTCCGTCAGCGATGGCTCGACTGTCAACGAAGATGCGGACAGGCCGATCAGCCGCTGCCACCACGCGCAGCAGGGCGGGGGCCTCAGCGCGCCGCGCGGACTGGGCCAGGCCGCGCACCCGAGCTAAACGGTCAAGCAGGCGGTCAGGCCCGCAGCGGAAGCCGAAACCCGCCCCGGCAAGGAGCGGGCGGGCCTGGCGCGCACGGGCGCCGCCAGTGGCCGCATGGACCCACCTGGCCCCCGCGTCGTCGGCGGCGCGCTCCTCGAGGAGGTCGGCTTCGGAGCCCTCGGGGGGGGGGCGCAGGACGGGGCGCAGGGGGTCGTCCTGCGCCGAGGTGGCCCGGAGGTTCAACGGCTGCGGGCCTCCTCCAAGCAGTCCGCAACTCCTTGCGCGGGGCCACGGGACCTCTTCATTGTGGATTAGAAATCACGGTTTTCAAATGATCCGCCCCCCCACCCAGCGTGGGCACTCCCAGACCGCGCGCTTCAGGGTTCTGTTCTGTTGCGCCATCTGCACGGCGGCGACGGGCGGCCGAGATGCCTGCGCGGATCTTGCGCCATCTGCACGGTGGCGACGGGCGGCCGAGATGCCCGCGCGGACCTTCCTCTGCCCGGCGCGGTCGCCGCCGAGCAGCAAAGGCCGAGCCGCCAGGCAGAGCTTTCTGCGTTGCCTTGGGTTCTTGGTAACTGGGGCATCGGCACAGTAGCCCCAGTCTTGTTTGACCGCGACGACCGCGCCCTGGTCGTGTCTGGGTAGGGATGCGACGCTGCGCAAACGTCATGCATCATGCCGAAGGATGGTCAATTCCTCTCCAGTTGAGCGATGGTTCGCCACGCTCTGCCACCAGGGCCACCGCCTTGGAAGGTCAGCGCGGGGTCGCGCGACTTTCAGCTTTGGCTGGCGTTGGGAGCGGTGCCTCTCTGCACCTGTCTCCGGAGTCCGAAAAGTGCTCCCCTCTGCGCAGCAGTGGCACACAGCTCAAGGGCATACCCAGGGACAAAAAAAGCGCAGGGGGCCCGCTGCAAGATCTGGGACCGCACCTTGGGGCGAACGGCTGCGAAAGTCACTATGCTACAAAGATTTCGCCTTCGCGTGCAGGGGGCTTGGATGCCGGTACCAGTGGCGCACAGACTATCAACGAGGAACCTGACCGAGGGGGCGCGAGCAAGGGTACCTTCGGGGGAGACGTCCCACGCGTGCGAGTCTGGCAATAGCACGCCGAGACCTAGCATCCGAGATGGCCGCTCTGCTCAGTTTGGCGTTGTCCGCTGCAGGCGCTGCGTTGCTGTAGCCTCCCACCAGCTTCACATGGTGATAAGTTTTCAGCGGGGGTCTGTTTACTTGGAGAGCAGCCACCTGGTGGTGCAGCCATTTCCCGACGGCCCAGCCCACGACTTTCACCGGGTACATTTCTTGGGCTGACAGGCGGTCGACAAGGACGGTCTTTGTCAAGTGAAGCGTGGAGCTCCCTGGCAGTAGGCGTGGTGGACTT